GTTACAGACACCAGTCACAAGTACACAAGTCGAGGTTACAGACACCAGTCACAAATACACAAGTCGATGTTACAGACACCAGTCACAAGTATGTAAGTCGATGTTACAGACACCAGTCACAAGTATGTAAGTCGATGTTACAGACACCAGTCACAAGTATGTAAGTCAAGGTTACAGGTACCAGTCACAAGTATGTAAGTCAAGGTTACAGGTACCAGTCACTAGTATGTAAGTCAAGGTTACAGGTACCAGTCACAAGTATGTAAGTTGAGGTTACAGGTACCAGTCACAAGTATGTAAGTTGAGGTTACAGGTACCAGTCACAAGTATGTAAATTGAGGTTACAGGTACCAGTCACAAGTATGCCACTGAAAGGTACACATACAAGCTGAAGGTAACAATGGGTACAGATACAACCTAGAGGTAAACTAACCTGAACGTACAAAAAAAACACCTATAAATACACTACTGTGGAGTTCCAGATACCAACTATAAATACATTAATGTGAAGTTTCAAGGACCACCTACAAATACACTAAAGTCCCACCTATAAATACACACCCTGGAGTTCCTTCCAGATATCATCTCTACGTACAATAGTATGCTTACAGATGTAAGTTGCTCTTTTGTTCAATAACATTGTGTAAAGTAGTTTATCTTGGAGTATCTGTTGCTGTCATAGAAACAGCAGCACAAATAATTGTGCTGGAAAAGTCTTTGCTCATGGCTGCATCACATAGAAGTGTACATAACCAAGATAACTACAGTAATCATATTTATAAACAAGTATTATTTATTTCATTTAGATACACATGTTCATAAATTTCCAAGGTTGTTTTTCTTTAATGTCCGTTTTATATATACTTTTTGTGGCTGATGTTACTTCTATTAGGCAGCTTTTTACATATTTCAGTATTCTTTATAACCTATATTCATGATGTAAAAAAATATATTGTCCATGCTCTATGACCAGTGTATTTTTTCAGCTTCTGCTATTAATAAAAGTAATGTTTTAAAAGAGTGAAACCCAATTTATTTGGTTAAATGTTTATTTGATACTAAAATATACTGGGACTACATTACTTCACTATCTGGCAAAGATAAGGTTAGCCAAAAAAAGGATAACAGTACCCTCAATGTGGATGATCTGAACACATCACATAACAAAACTTACTGGATGCAAACATTACGAGTTTTACATAGATTAAATTGGCAGTGAAATACATATGACCATCTGCAGCATCCTTTATTAATGAACCTCTTTAAAAATTTAACCTCTGTGAAAAACATCTAAAGTTTTTTCCTTTGAACTTAACTGTGTGATGCGACACAAATGTAAAAATAAATCTAAAACAACGAAAGCCAACAAAACCTACACGCATAACAAATAACTGGTTAGGAACACCCTTATCTTCGTAACACACCCCTTTTTTTACATTTAACATGATCTCATTTGAGACATTAAAATCATTTATAAAAACTTTTAGCTTGATATGGATACATATGTCTTTCTCTATAATATTAGTAAAATATTGTGTTTCAGAACTAATAAGAACACAAGATTTGTTAGCCTGAAATGTTCATAAAACACAAGTTTAGGTCAATAGCTTATTAGTAGCATTAAAAGAAAAACATTGCATCAGTAACAGAATTGCATAAGATGCATTTATCAAAAGAGCTCAGTAGTTTAAAAACAAGCTTAGCTTGTATCTGAAGCCTCTTATATAGAACTGTGATCTATAATTAACATTCTGTAACAATTAGAATGTAGTTTCTGAAAGCCCACACTTTCAGCACAATGATTTCATTTCTTCACTATAACTTTACTCAGACCAAATAACTAGCACTTCTTAATGAGAACTTCCTAAAAACAAGTACTTAAAAGATTAATTATTCTATACTACTTCCTCATGGCTAATCTGGGGTAATGCTTTAACAATTATTACCATTCCTGATGGTAGATTATAAAATTGTATTATTAACTGTTTTACTATTTTCTAGCTCCAAACGAAAACTTCTTCGTTGCCATTCTCCAGGTAAAAACTTTCAAACTGCATACTAAATCTTGTGCAGTAAGAAGAAATTGTCATAAATTTTAGCTTCTTTCCTTGAATGAAAAACCACAAATGCCTTTGCTGTTGAGAAGAAAAAATATACACAAGTTTTTCACCTTTCTTTACTTGATTTTGCTCTATCTTTAAAAAAACAACAACAAAAAAATGTGTATTTTATTCCACTTTATCAACACAGTATGGAAAATTTATCTATTATTTTTTTAAAATGATACCTGTAAAAAAAAAAAAAGGCTAACTTTGGATAAACTGTTTCTCTAGGTTCAATGAACAACCTTTCCATAATGAAGATCATACCATATCTATCGTCTTAAACTTTCTGAGGAACTTATAAACCAGAAGTCTCACCCAATGTCTTCTTTCTTATAAATATTCAACTTCTAAACTACTCAAAAGCCAATTTCTCTGCTTCTGAATCAAGTTATAAAAAAATCTGGTTTTTTCAACTTTTTGTTACATCATTATCTGAAAACAATAAACAATAAATAAAAATCCAACTAACTATCTAATTCACTTTATAAACAGCTCAAATAAAGTTTACTATAAAGAATGTAGGGGGCTACTACTATTATTCAAGATATATTTTAAGGTATGAAGTGTTATTTATAACCAAAAGTAACAGGTGAAGATGAATTTATAGCAAAAAAAAGTCTGAAAAAATAATTAAAATGTTTTAATTTTCATGCATCTTCTATACACGTACAGAGAAATGTTCCAGATGTATCTGATAAAGTTGAAATTTAGCTGATCGAAAGAATGAAATACCAACCCCATTGTGGATCCTATTATTCTAAATAGTGTGAAATAAAATCTTAAAAAATAATTCTTATTTATTTAATCTTCAGTATTTCTTTCATCTTTTCATATGTACAGTATTTTGACAGAAAGTGATGAAACATTAATATCAGACTGTACAAAAGTGCCCCACCAAAGTCTCAAAGCCAAGATCTTTATCATACAATAATAAATGATTTAAAGATGTTTTTTACAAAAAGACTTATACATGTAATACTGAAATGAACCTTAAATTTTATTTGTACAAACACATTACTACTTTTCAGTATAGTAATTAAAGAAAAAAAAATTTTTCATTTTGTTTCTCTTCATCAACTATTCCATAAACTTAACATGTACCTAGTATTAATGTTATCAAGCAGAAACAAAAGCTATAAAGGAATGATATGTGAAAACTATAAGCAGAATATATGGGAGAATTATGTGTAACAGGGCCATCAAGAAAATAGACAAGAACTAAATAAATATTATGAAAATTATCACAACACTATAAAATCATACTTCACCATTATAGACAACGTATCTAAGGAAGCTATGTCAAAACTATGTCATTCTGAAAAGAAACAACAAAAACAAACTATGTTATGGAGTTACAAAATAACACGCTAAACCATGTTAGTATAATAGTCTGTGTTTGGTGTCCAGGACACTTGAAACTGATAGATTTATCATAATGTAGACTATTCTCTCGTTTAATAAAAGCTAAGAAAGTACGGTTCACCCAATCTATAGATCTTTGTTAACCTGGATACTATGGACAATTTAACGACTAAATTTCATTAAAAAAAAAGGTGTTTTTTATCTGGTGATCAATTAAACTTTACATATCGCTTTGTCTTCAAATTCTAATTTTTGAAATAACCTAAAACCACCAAACATTTATTTCCTGAACAGAAGCTGCAGATGTTTAGAGATACTTAACTGATTCTGTCTGTTAAGTCAGGGATAAAGTTTGTAAAGCAACAAATATTGTATGTAATCACTTGTGTGCTGGAATTCTAATATTATCTTTTTTTATAATTAATCTTCTAGATGTATTAATTATTCGTTAGCTTAATGGTCCCACTTAAATATACAATTTACGTGGCCATGTTCTTTTTTTTTTCACTGGTCAAGATAACATTCTTGAGCAAAAATATATTGAAAACAAAATTTAGAAAGTTCATTATATAGTTGCTGTAAACTAGTTCCAAATCAGCATGAATCTTATCAAATTATACAACTCACTTTCCACAGATTTCTTAAATTTTAAAGATTACTCTAGCACATTGATAAGGTTTACAGAAACTGAAGGTAAGAAATATTAAAACATTTTCTAGAAAAATATTCCAGACCTTAAAATTACTGAATTCAAGTGAGTATTCTTATAATATTTAAATCTAAAATTTCTTAGTTATTTCAGTAAATACATGCTCAACCAAATATTTTCGTTTCTTTAGCCTAACTAAAATCAAAATATTGTTGATCCTAATTTGCAACAATAAGGCATATTCTTTCACATTTCTTATAATAAGTTTTTTTTGCAAACAAATTCATCTTTATAATATAGCTTAATGCATTTCAATATCCTAAAAATGTTCTGCCAACTGACACAAAAAATAAAAGCCTACAAAAGATGCAGAGAGTAGTTCAGTAACCCTTATAAAGAACAGCAAAAAATCTGATGACATATCAACACTGAGCGTCAAAAAAAAGGCATTTTTTTGGGCAGCAGATATTAACGGGTGAATAGAGAAGTGTAATATCATCTTTCTCAGGATAGTGTGGGCTATACCAGAGAAGCCACATCCTTCACAGTCTGATCTAGTGCATGCAACAGTTCTTCTCCGTGCAGTAAACTGGCTGATTGAATGGGAGCATTAACTTCTGCATCATGATGGGTAATGTCAGCCAAGGATGGAATGGCTGAGCCTTCTGGGTCAAGAAGTGCTGAAAGAGAAGTATGGAGAAATGGTTGACCTCCACACTGTGACATCTGAGGAGAATGTGGAGAGGACTATTGGATGAAAAAAAAAAAGATTTTTCAAAAAGTTAGTCTTATATTCTACAAATGTTATGTAACCTTAAAAATAACAAAAACATACTTTTTATTTTCACCTTAAAAAAACAGACTTGTCAAGTACTGATAGTTCTTCAACTATTCAACTGAATTCAAGTGAGTATTCTTATAATATTTAAATCTAAAATTTCTTAGTTATTTCAGTAAATACATGCTCAACCAAATATTTTCATTTCTTTAGCCTAACTAAAATCAAAATATTGTTGATCCTAATTTGCAACAATAAGGCATATTATTTCACATTTCTTATAATAAGTTTTTTTTAAATTATCAAGATTTTATGCACTTGAAACCAAATAAATTCCAGCAATATCCTTCGATTTTCACCTTCTCACAGTGCATTAAACTTAGAATAAGCTTACTATATACAGTGATGAGATTACCAAATGTAACCTTTAGTCCATAAAGACAGAGGGTAATGATTCTCTCTGGTGCATTTTAAACCATCTTGGGGCACAAAATATCCATATTATTTACTGCTAGAATGATCAGTGAACTTTGAACTTTTGTCTGCTAAACTGATCAGTGAACATTGAGCTTTTGTCTGCTAGAATTATCAGTGAACTCTGGACTTTTGTCTGCTAGAATGATCAGTGAACTTTGAACTTTTGTAACTTATGTTTCAATGATCAAAGTTACAGACCAGTTGACATATAAACTGGGTATCTCATGAAATATTTAGACAGATACTACAAACAAATGTTTATAATTGTGATGAATAGATCAGTTCAATACAAACTGATCATTTAGTGAAATACTGAAGCAATATTTGTACAAATCAAATTCCACTGTGCAAAATTATTATCTTAAAAGGTATATTTGAAATATTATGTATGTTCATGTATGAATCTCTGCATATCCTACTAGACGGTTTTGTTTCTAATTCTAAAACAAACTGATGCATGCTGGATTTTGTATGAAATGTGACAACGTTTTGGTAAACTTAGACTAATAAACGGACATGATAATGTAAGGGCAGATAATGCTTTAGATCAGAAAGACACAAAAGCTGGTTATCTTTTTTATTTTATGACAATGGCTGGATAGAATCTATTACTTGCATTTAAATACACAGATCTCTTACCATTTCATAAATTTAACTGAAATAAAACAAATTTTATTATAGATGTTTTAATAGTATGCTCTTTTGCTAAATAATTTATGCCGAGTATGAAAATGTTTAAATAAATGTAATACTCTATGAGATCTATCATACGTTGTAATACATGATCAGATTCTATGGATCAATGAAGGATGATCACTAACTTGTGAGACTGAAAAGACGTTCAGAATCTGTGACCATTTAATCAATTTATAAAGTTTTCATTTGTAACAAAAAGTTGTTAATTATTGCAAACATATTTTAGAATCTCAACATGTGTTCTCCCCTACTTTCATCAGATCATGTCAATACTTCATTAAAATGTGTGTCTGATAAACAAAAATAGTCTATTCTATTCTCATGGGATGGTAGTTTCTTAGCATATATAAACCTATGCACTGAGATGGGTAGAAAAATTCTAAAAAAAATCAATCAGTGTGGTGTTTAGAATCAAGATTTCCTTAAAACTGCACAGAAATGAAAGCCTGAACATTTGTTTCTTTTTTTTCTTTTATTGGGGAATAACACTAAACAAATGTTACAAAAGAACAAAATATTAATTCTAAAATATTTTTGAGTTAAAACAGAATTATTATTTTTACTTAAAAGTTTGAAATTTGATATGCAGGTGTGCACTTAACACCTGAGCAGTAGTGTTGGATAGGGTTAACAGTTCTAGAGTAGTTTTTTTTCTTCACTCTTTCCCGTTGCTGATCTCAAAAAATAAGCAAGGAGCAAGAAAAATAAAACCTTATCATAAAAACACTCATAATATTGTGAAACAATATCTAAAGTGAATGGTGCGATGTCCTAGCTTACATTTTTCACTATATTTTTGATAGGTTGTTGTTTGTAATTAAGCACAAAGCTACACAATGGGCTATCTGTGCTACTGCCCACCACAGGTATCGAAACCCGGGTTCTAGCATTGTAAGTCTGCAGACATACCGCTGTGCCACTGTTTTTTTTTTTTATAGGTTGTTGTTGTTCGTAATTAAGCACAAAGCTACACAATGGGCTATCTGTGCTCTGCCCCCCACAGGTATCGAAACCCGGGTTCTAGCATTGTAAGTCTGCAGACATACCGCTGTGCCACTGTTTTTGATAGGTTGTTGTTGTTTGTAATTAAGCACAAAGCTACACAATGGGCTATCTGTGCTCTGCCCCCCACAGGTATCGAAACCCGGGTTCTAGCATTGTAAGTCTGCAGACATACCGCTGTGCCACTGGGGGGTTTTTGATAGGTTGTTGTTGTTTGTAATTAAGCACAAAGCTACACAAT